TATTGTATTACATATTGATTCAATATTTTTAATTTATAAATATTATTTAATAAAAAATTTTAATTTATAAATATTAATGAATGTTTCTTACCCGTGCACTGCACGGACTCATGCTAGTTGGTCATAATCAGCCAAACTTGCAAAAAGCATATTATTGTGATTAATATAAATAGAAGTATGTAAGTTAAATAGTTTATATTTACATCATTCATTTTACTATTTTACTAATGATAAACTATAAAATGTAATATGTTCATTTTCTAACTTATGATTTCAAATATTACAGACAGACACACACATATAACATATAAAATTTTATTTGAATATGTGAATGCATATATGATCAAATACTAATTGTGTTAGTGGATTAATAGCGAATTAAAGTTGATGTGACGTGTGATGATGATTGATTGATACTATTTAATTATTTTGATAATATTAAGAATAACAAATTTATGTTAAAATTAAATTTAAAGAAATGCAGTGACTTTTTGCTCGAGCACATTATTCTTTGTTCATTTTCTTGGGCTATCCGACTAAAAAGCTTCGTCTAGAAACAGAACCTCTCGGGCTTTCACGCTGATTGAAAGCCTGAATTCTGAAAACCCCTTTTTTCAACATACGCTAACAAACCTGAATTTTATGCATAATTAGTGCAAAAGCTTGGAATTCTTGGGGAATATTCAGAAAGGGGTTTTCTTTTTGACCGTATGAAATTGAAGTCGAATTGTTGAAACATCATCGTATTGTGTTTTGGTTTTATTTTCCGGCGAAAATGGGCGGCGGGCACTCCGATTCTTCACCGCTGGTGGCGCCGACGCCCGCCGAAGACCCTTCTGAGATTGACCTCGAGGCGGGGCCTGATGAGCAAATTCAGTGCCGTATTTGCCTCGAAACCGACGGTGAAATCCCTAATTTTTACTCGAATCTCAGTTTTGAAGCCTAATCGTTTATGCTGGTGCGATAATCATAGAATGAATAAAGTTGCCTCTTTGCTAAATTCGTTGTACCTTGAAGTGCCATGGACGTATTAAAGCCCTTTTCTTTCTTTCTCAATTCTCAGTTGGTTTTCACTTTTCTTCAGAACTTTACCGGGAAAAATGGTGTCATACACAGGTTTCTGATATACGAATTATTTCGTCGTTTCTAGTTACTTCTTATTTAGTGGCAATATTACATGTACATTGGATTGAATTTTCTCTATGTCAAACTCGTGTCTGAAAAAAAGTTATGTGTGCAATTTTCCGAAGCCATTACCTTTAACAAGTGTATAGGTTACAGACTTTCTGCATTTTCTGTTTTGCTCTTATTTGTTTCTTTCATAAACTCGTCGTTGAGGGGAATTTTCTACTTGGGTTGATGATCAGGTAGGGATTTTATTGCTCCTTGCAAGTGCAAAGGGACATCAAAATATGTTCACAGAGAATGCCTGGATCATTGGCGTGCTGTGAAGGTAAAAAAAATATCGTTTTGGTTATTGAAAAGTTCTAATCTTGATATGATCTTTCCTAAAAGGTGAGTCTTCTGCTAATGTAGAGTTCTTGGAAATTTTGCAGTCAATGTCACTTCAAATTCTGTTTCTATTTTTCCTCCACTGCATTTATCTTATTGTTATTATAATTTGATTTTATCGTTGATACACCTTTCCTCCGTTGTGTCTTGGATATGAGGTTAGGGCATGTCAATTATTCTTCACTGGCCTTTTGATTTATGATAGTTATTGAGTGTTGTAGTTAAAGGAAGTTCTTTTTTGTGTTACGGGTAGTTACTTGAATCAAATTTATAATCTCTTTTACCTTTCTTACTCTATATGAAGCCGCTAATTATTCCTCTTCTTTCCTTTTCTATCCTACAGGAAGGGTTTGCCTTTGCTCACTGCACTACTTGCAAGGCTCCTTATTATCTCAGAGTACATGGTGTTGCCGATAGGAAATGGAGAACATTGAAGTTCCGATTTTTTGTTACTAGAGACATTTTATTTATATTTTTATCCGTGCAACTGGTAGGTTGTTGGACTGTTCTCGATTAAAGTGATATTTTTTTTCCTTACATATATAGTTTTGATCTCTTTGCTTGCTTTAACATGATGGTGCCCAAAACTTTCTAGGAAGGGTGATTTTTCGTAGTTAGTATTTTGAAACATGACCAAGTATACTCCTTGTTACAGGTTATTTCTCTCTTTGCATATTTGGTGTATCTTATAGATGGTTACCAGAAATTTTGGTTTCGTCTGACATGCGGTTTTGACAGTGAAATTAGCTTCTACTACATCTGTGGTAAGACATTTTGAACTTATTTGAGCTTCGTCTGTTATGTTCAAGAGTTTAGTGATTCTTGAATTAATTTTACTCCAAATTTCAGTATCTTCTTGATTATTTTCAAAATAGCCATACAACAACTACTATCACCTAATTTGTCTATCCTTCGGAGTTTCTGTAAGATATTCGCTGTCAAATTTAAACTCATGCAAGCGCAGAACACTTGCGGCTTGTTTGCTTTGTTGAATTTCATTCAGCATTTTTGGGTGTTAAGTCAAAGTGGAAACATTTTTGGTTTAGTGATGTCTGATGAAGAAATATACCTTATATTCTTTGAATGAACCTTGCAATATAAGCAATAGTGAAATTTCATCATATTTACCATGCAACAAAGGTGTTGCATTGATAATTGAAATTTCATCATATTTTCAGAATATTTACGCATGTCACTGCTACTTTTATGAATTGATGGAGAACCATTAATGTTAATATGCTAAAGGCAAATCCATTTTGATACTGTTATGTAGGAGCATTATTGTTTTTCGCTTTGCTTGGCTTATCCGGATGCTTTATAACTTGTTACGACAGAAGAGTGCGAAATGATCTGGCTCAGCCTTGTCGAGAACTTTGCCTTTGTTGTTGTCATCCTGGGTATTCTCCATATCTTGTCACATAAATTTCTTGAAAAAAATTTAAAAACTTAAAGTAACTTACTTTGTCTTACATTCTTGATACATACATCTGATATAAAAAAATCTCTATGTGATAATGGTCTTTCCTTTGAAACAAAATTTCGGAAATCTTTTTCTGCACACTGTCAAATATAGTAACTTTTACTTTGAATAAGGTGAATTAAATAGTTTTTTGGTAATTTATTTTATTTTCCTATTTCTTTTTGTGCAGCATATGTGCCGACTGCCACTTGCCTGGCACTCTTTGCATGTGGGCTGATTGTACCTCGTGCTTCGAAGGTTGTACCAGCGCGGTTAGCGAATGTGGTTGCCTTGGGGGTGCCGGTGAAGCTGGGCTGCCCTTATTACTTATAGTTGCTTTGATAATCCTTGGCTTATTTACCGTAATCGGCATATTTTATAGTGTACTGGTGGCCACAATGGTCGGGCAGAGGATTTGGCAGAGGCACTATCACATACTCGCCAAAAGAATGCTAACAAAAGTGAGTTTTTCACGATTACTCGTGGTTTCTACTTTCCTTTTGTGCTGACAAAAAGTTGCATTGTCTTGCTATGTTTCATTCTATGCGCCAAGAATGCACATTTCCTCAAATTTATTAAGAAGTTTGTGATTATTATTATTATTATTATTATTATTATTATTATTATTATTATTATTATTATTATTATTATTATTATTATTATTATTTACAGGAAAATAGCACCCAACCTTTATTCTCAACATGATCCCTATGAAACTTATCTTCGTAATGTTTCAATGATATTGGAATGCCACGTTGTGCTACTTATGCAACAATATGTGGTTAATTTTTGTTATACTTAAAGATATTCATGCCACATATGTATAAACATAGCCATGTTTTTTGTGTATTATTTTCTAAGTTTGTTGTAATTAAACATTGTATACTAAAATGGCACAAGTTTAAACTACATCAATGTTCATATGGTGTCGAGCTCAACCAAATCTGCAAAATATTGCCCGAATGTCGCATGGATCATTTTACCAAAAAAAAAAAAGAAAAATAAAAAGTCGACTCAACATTGAAAATATTTGAAAATTGGATTTAAATGGCAAAAATCACAAAAGGTTGGTTATTTTTAAACAAGTGCCCTCATTATTATTATTATTATTATTATTATTATTATTATTATTATTATTATTATTGATTTATTTCTTTTACAGGAATATGTAGTCGAGGATGTCGATGGTGAGATGATGGGAGGCGATTGGTCACCCCCAGCACTACCCTCTGAGCATGTTCAGCAGCTTAAAGGGCTTGGCCTCCTGTGAGTTTTGCTTGCCCGCCATAAGTAATATCCTTGCATTATTAGGATTGACTTTTTTCGTCAATTTTTTTGCGGTTGGTATTATATTATAGCAAGGAATGTAAATTCAGAAATCGGAACCATAACGAAAAATTCGCCTAATCCCGTTTGATTATTGTTTGTAATCAGTGATGAGAGGAGAGGAAAAAATGTATGATTTAATTGATATTACATGCCTCGACTTGTTCTAGCGAATGCTCTATATTTCATGTGTTGATACCTATATTAATTTATTTAGTTTATTACAGTTGGACACATTTTGTATTCTGGGATACTGAATACTGATGAGTATCATATTGATGATATTATAAAGTGAATTCTTTATGATTAGTGAAATCTCTCCACTTTTTTGGAATTTCATGGGATGATGATGATGAGTGACCTTGCTCAATTGTAAGAATATAATGTGTGTGTGTGTGTGTGTGTGCGAATTTAGCAATGCTAAAAGGAAAAGTAAGTTTTGTGATGTTTAGAGTAGGGCTGCAAACGAGCCGAGCCGAGTCGAACATTAGCCTTATCGAGCAGGATTGAGTTTTTTTTAGCTGCTCGAGCTCGACTCGAAATCAAAATGCTCGAGCTCGGCTCGAAAATTTTTAAGTGGAAAGGCAAAATATGGGCTCGAGTCGAGCGCTCGAAGCCCTAGTTTAGAGTATGTGTTGTCATGTACACTGAATGGACCATTGTGTGTAAGTTTTATGAATCATTCATGCTTATATAAAAATCTGAATAAAGAAGGAGATAGTGAATGTGGGGTTTATTTTGCCCACCCATGTGCAGATACCCATGTGGGAAGTTTGCAACTTATGCATGATTCCAACATGATTCACATGATTAGGGCTGCAAATGAGTCAAAGAGTTTGGCTTGAAATTTCTATAAAATCAATTTTAATTTAGTGATATATAAGTCGTTTTTCGTATATTTGAATGAATTGTCGAACATCCAAGCTTACAGACTGTATATTTGAGCTTGATTCGAGCTCGATTTTGAGGTGCTTGAGCTCAACTTGAGCCTGGGAATGTTTTGTTTGTAACTCTAATTGTGAGGAAACAAATATATTTTCTAATTATATAAAAGTTTTGTGGAAAATGCTACGATTGTGGATGGAACTATTCCGTCGAAGTTTGTAACGGTTACAAACTCCAACAGAATGGTTCCGTAATGGGACTGTAGTATTTCACAGTTTTGCTGTTAAGTCGATGGATAACATCGTAACACAACATTATGAGTCAACTACAACTATTTACGAGCAGTTTATTGGCACATATTCTAACGTATATACATTTCATTTATTTTACGCAATGCATCCTAATCCTAACTATACAAATTAAATTCATTTCTTAAAAAAAAATTACTAAATTCCGAAAATCCATTTCACACAGCCTTAAAAATGTGGACACGTAGTCAGCGGTGCACAATATTCTGTATAGCACTTCACATCAGTACATCGCACGCTAAAACCTACTTTAACTAATTAATTAATTTATCAATAAATTAATTTTATTATTAGTTTATGGAAATTTCTACGATTACAAAAGCATTCCGTCGAGATTTACAACCGTTAGATCAACTATTAACGACGGGTTTTTTCGGAATTTGTAACCGCTAAATCAACTATCCACGACGGTTACATAATGATCTAATGATTATAAATTTCGACGAAATAGTTCTATAACAGACCTTAATATTTCTCTTAATTTAGTACCCGTTGTTTAGAATTTAAAAAAACAAACTGCCGACCACAGAAAAAGAGAAAAATTTCAATGTGCCAAACGCCGCTTTATTATTTTATTAAATAAAATAAAATAAAATAAAAAATACGCACTAACAAAACCAAACCTTATCCACTTCTCTTCCCCTTTAAATACCCACAAAAAAAAAGAGAAAAAAACAAACACACACACACACACACACACACTTCAAATTCAATCAGTCAAAAAAGAGAGTAAAAAAATTGGTACTTTTTAAATTTTACTGTGAGCTGTGGTGATTAATGGCGGACATAGCAATGTTGGTGGCGGAGGAGTACGAGAGAAGGGTCAAAATCTCGAGGGAAATCGGTCAAGAGATGGAGTTGACTTCTTGCGTGGGGTTTTTTGGGGCCAATCTGAAAGAACCAATTTTTTCTGGGGTCAAAGAGAGAATAAATTTGTTGATGGAGGAGAAATTGGTGAGGGCTGGGATTAATTTGGAGCCAAAGTCGCAGATGAGTCTTGCTGCTACCAACGGTTTCTTTTCTGCTTGATCTTAACTAAATATGTTTTTTTTTTTTTTAAATTTTCTGATTAAAAAAAAAAATAAAAAATTGTGTTTATGTGTAGTGTTATATGTTTTGTAAATTAAGGTTAATAATGTTTGTTTGAAAGAGTATTTTGATATCCAGATGAAGATTGAAAGCTAATTTTCTATCTTTAATTTTATTTTATTTTATTTTTTTTTCATTTTTTGATCACTTTTCTTGTCAATTTGATCGGATTGTTTTGTGTCATAAAATGGATTTTAGTACATGGTGATTAATTAATTTAATTTAATTTAGTTCCGAACAACTTTGGTGCAACTATTATTATAGTTTCCTTGCAACTTGCAAGTTGGAAGATAATAATATCTAAGATATAAAATAAAAATATAAATAATAGCAAGTGGTTGACAATTATATAGAGAAATATGCTAAGTTACGGAATTATTTCGTCGAAATCATTTCGTCGGAGTTTGTAACAGTTAGATCAATTATCTCCTTCCGTTACACGATGATCTAACACAAACCCTGACCGAATTGTTATGTAGCGGGACCTTCACATTTTCCTTAAAATAGAACACATCACCAAACAACTATAAATAGTAGCTAAAGAACCAGAATTATATAAAACACATCAACAAACTAAGTCCTCACATGCTTGTCCATAAATACAGTCTCTTTATGTCCGATTCTCTTAAGTTCACAAAAGTGTATATAATAAATGCAAGAGACTGCAGAAGAAGTTGGATGTTTGATGATAGCACCAAACATTAGTGAAGCAAATCTCATGAAACAAAGCTTCTTATTACTATAGACAAACCTCTAATGGAAAATTGTATGCACTTCACATCTTTGAACGAACCCGACTAAGGGTGGCTTCAATCGATCCATGCGGTTCATCCGTTGGTAAATACACATCATCCTCAAACTGTAAATATATATATAATGCAACTATTAGATTTCCCTCCAATTCAGAAAAAGAATTACACTCTTTAAAGAACATATCAATACCCAAAGGTAGTAATAAGTTGAGAAGTATACCTTAACAATTACGGGGTTATCTTTGCTGGACAAGTTGACCGGCAGAAAATGAATGTTCGGCATTTTCAACTGGATTGAAGACACATCAGGAACCCTGAAATCAATGAGAAAAGTGATGTAGAGCGTAGTACAATCGGGAAGAATATGAGATACTCTCTCGTAGAATGAAACGAACAGAATTTTAATTCAGCAAAATAAATGAGTACTAAAAATAACGAGAAATAAATAGGCTTAACCCGGAGCCGGTCATATTTATTCAGATACACAATGGCGGTCTCGTCTTCATCAAAAAGAATCACTCGTTTCGAAAAAAGTAAAATAAAATTAATGGCATCAAAGAATTTGAAAAAGGGTGATTTGCACAACACTGCATATATGATGCGTGCAAGAAAAATAAAGGAAGGGTAACCTGTCCAGCACAGCCTTTGCCATGTAATAGAGCGTGCTTTGAACAGAAGGACTGTATACCCCTCCTTTAGCAGGACCAAAGAATGTCTCGATTAAAACCTTCTTCACATCCATATATTTCTCCGAGAAGTAGGACTGTTTTGAAGGGACACTTGTTAAAGACTCAAAAGGGTACCTACATCAAGAAGAAGAAAAAAAAAAATAAAAATAAAATCTTTTAAGACATGCTTACATGGTTCAGGTTCAAGAGGAAGAAGTCAGATAGTCATCTTTAAATTTGCGCTCTAATGTGTACTATATCCTTAACCATAAGAAAGAAATACCTCCAAGATGCTGTGACCTCTGTTGCCAGCATCCTTTCTCGAGTTTCAGGCAATATTGTATACTTGTCCCTGATGAATCCTTCAAATCCTGACTAATATAATGCAAAATCAAATTTGAGTGACAAGCGGGCATCATAACATAATCATGTGACATGGTTAGACTTAGACATGAAGTAGATCGTATAGGAAACAGAAATCGGTTGCTTTTTGTAGAACATTGCTTACTTTCGAACAAATGAACGAAAATTTGTTTGGTGAACAAGTACAATTCTTATCAAAACTATATAATTTTTCTCCCATTTGCTAACTAAGAAATCATGTGTGGCCATGAAGAGAGCATATATTTAGTAACGCACTGAGTAAAATCTCGTTCCTTTTTAAGGCAGAATTCTTACGTATCTATATCTTTTATTCACTTCTTCATATTCATTTAGGATTAGAAAAAAGTGAGAGGCCGAGCTTTTGCTTCGGAATCATAATCTGTTTCTACTGAAGTACGGTTATATTTCCCAAGGTATCGATAAGATCAAATTGCGGAAGCCATTGTCTTGGGCGGGAGAAAATCTAATTGGCATTAGCACTTGGGGGTTGAGTCAGGCTCGCCTACAGTTGCTTTCTTGTCTCACAGTCCTTTAATTTTTGGTGACTGTATACTTCAGTTTTTCATTTTATTAATCTTCCACCAATTCACTGTAAGGACAAAAGGCGGAGATGATGATTTAAGAATATCCAACAAGCTCTGTTATTACGTAACAGAATCATCATAGATTCCTACAAGTGAAAAATTCAAGTATCATATACGACTATCAGAAGCTCGTATTCTCAAACAGCTACAAACAAACGGCACGCATGATGAACCATTGATATCAACTCAAAAGAGGGTTTTCTGGTAATGTAGCCGTCACCAGCACTTGGAACACGTAAGAGAACCATCAACTTGAAACAGACACTTGTGACAGTTGGTGACTGATAATTTGTTGGACTATGTATTCTGAAATAGGACTGCTGATAGTCTGTCTAAAGCTTAGTCAGTATTACGAATAATGTGGTTCTAGTGGCATTTTCTAGATAAATATAATTGAAGACAATTTTAAGCAGTGACTATTTCATAGGAGCTTGAAAGCCTTATTTCACTTTAAGATTAACGAAAAGGAGGACATCCAGTATCACTCTCATAGAATGTTAGTAAGATGTCCAAACTGATCAATGTAGAAGATCTTAGTTTAGCATTAACTCACCTGGGTTGTTTTCAGCACTGCCAATCCTTGAACACCAGAAATAACCTGCAATGCACCGGACTTCTTAACTATGACATCTGTTGTGTGCTTTTCGGATCCCAGCTTGAAACCTTGAGAAGGTACCAAACAAAACCATAAGGAAAAATTGAACATTATTCTCTGCCTCTCAACGTCCGCACACAAAGACCCAAATCCTATACAACGTCCTTCCAGTAGAAACAAGCACTTCAAAGATTCACCAGTAATCTATTCTAGTGATTTGAACAAAAACACGATTATGACAAAAAAAAAAATCCAGATTAGCCTTATAAACTTTAATTAGCAACAGGAATAGGCACACTCAATGTCAAAGTTCGGCTGTTTCAATTGAAGCATTATTAACAAAGAACGCAAAACTACTAGAATTCCTACATGGATGCATCAACTGACCATGCTCGTGTGGCTGGCCATTAATGTCAATGCGCTCCCATGGCTTCTCAACTATATTGATTATTGCAGAAGAGACCTAGAAAATAGTATCAGTCAGAAGTTCTTTCGTCATAACATCCAGTAAGAAGTTACAGCCTCAAATCATGTAACATGCCCAGCGTATCAGTATGATTAAGCTCTTTTCATTATTTTGGAAAGCACATCACACAGTATCATCCATCAACTATTCTCAACTTTATAAATACACTGAATCGCGATTTTAAACTTTATCAGGAGTTTGTGACCTGTGTCATTGAAAATTTAAGCTAAAGCACACCGAATCACGATTTTAAAGGCAGGACAGGGTTCCAAACATCCCCAGCCCACTTCTGAAACTATTACCTGATGATAAAAGGATGTGAAGTGCTTTCCAAGTACAATGGCGAAGTCCTCTGGTGAAAGCGGTTGCTTACATTCTTTAGCTTTCACGTATACCTAAACCAAAGTCCAGCAAGAATCAAACAGCTACATATATAATGCCACTAATCCACACATATTCAGTTGGAATACACAGACAAACATGAATATTTTAACTTTATCACAATCGGAATAACTTTTGCATTTTATAACACGAACATACACATTTACAGTTTGCAGTGGTAAATGCAACAGGAAACACCACCTTGCATACGATGATACGAAATCATTTCAGACCAACTCAAAACTAATAAAAATAAACCAACCAAACCCCAAAAGGAAAAATGGAAACAGTACCGTGTTTTTCATGGTATCCGTAGCGACGATATCGGAGTTGTCGCCGTTAGTATAAGCGGGCAAACAATCGGAGAGAAGGCTGATGTTCACGCTCCACTCGACGAAATTCTGGCGTCCGTTTGGTTCTCTCCACACTCTCCCTACTCTGACCCTTGCTTTGCCGTGCCTCTGCTCCAGCGCCAAAACTCCATCGGCGGCCATATTCTGGTCGGAGATTGTGTAGTCGAATCGGGATCTGTTGACGGCGGCTCGGTGGGATTCGAAATAGGTCAGTTCAGAAGAAAATTGCCATGGCCGGTTAGTAACTTTTTAGCTTATGACGTGGTAAAACTAGCTGATAGCTTATCAGTGATTTTCGAGCTTATAATTTATAGCTTATGACTTATAGTTGAAAAGATAGCTTATATAATAAAAGTATTTGGTAAAATTAACTGATAAACTAGTTGAAATAAAAAGTTCAACAAACTTATTTGAAAAGCTACCTAAAAAATTTATCAAATAAGCTCTAACTTTTAAAAAAACTCGTATTACCAAACAACACTTATTTGAATACAGGGGCCTTATAAGTTAACCAAATAAACTATAAGCTACCTTATTTTTCTACCAAAAAATAGCCATAATTACATCTATAAAACATCACCACAACTAAAAGAAGCAGCTCCAAAGCCAAATCTAGTGGGAGGCAGATTTGGAGATTGCCTAGAACCTATACTAAAACAAATCACAACCACCAGAAAAACACGCTCCGCTACTGGAGATAAAACACTCCAATACGAGAGAATACACATTTCCATACGAAAGAATACTCACACACTTCAATACGAGAGAATACACTCTTCCGTACGGGACAACAACTCACTCCCCTACGGGAGAAACAACACACTCCCATAAAGGAGCACCACAACAACACCAACACCAACCAAAACAAAAAACACCAATGAACACCAAAACAAAAAAACAACAAACAAAAAAACTAAGGGTAGACAACGCCCTTCACACAACCGGCAAAACACCAAGAGCAACACGACGGCGACAACCCGACCGGCCACCCCAAAGGACCGGACCGCGCTCTTAGATGTTGGAAATTCGCGAGAGTTAAAAGATATAATGATTGCATGTATTATTTTGCATAATATGATAATTGATGATGAACGCGATCTCAGTACTAATCGAAGTTCCGACCCCATATGTTGAAATGGTGGGCAATGAAGTTTCTCAGTTCTAAGCATTTATTGCTCAATACAGACAATATAGCCCTTCATAATGCACTGATTGATCATTTATGGGAGAAATTTTCCAATTCGAAAAATTAGATGTAATTTTCTTGTAAACATTTTTTTTTCATGGCTTTTATGTTTTCATTATATTATGTGATTTGTATTCATATTTTTTAAATTTAAGAAGCAATCTCGCGTTGTTATACATGAGCATATTTTTATTATTTAGGTAATAAACATTTATATATGATTAAATATATATATTTGTATTAATTTATTTAAAATAAAAATAAATCAAAAAATAATATTGACTAAAATATAGCGCGAATGGTTGAAGGCAGAACTTGAATCTTGACTTATTCTACTACTATAGAGTAGAGTAAATGCTTTAAAACTGGGACCTGCGGTAGGCAGGTTAATTATCAAAATAAATATTGTTGGGAATTTGGCCCAATACCAGATCCCTATCTCAGGCCCAAGGAAGCCCCGGC